ATTATTTTTAAGACTGTAATTTGAGATAAGATATGAGTTTATTAAACTGTATTTTTCTATATAAAAGCATGATTATGTAAATGTATGTGCATATTCTCAACAGTTGTGTTATGTTGGATAAGATACTAAAGTTACTTATCTTACTTAACTCCTTCCTATTAAAAAATCAGATGATCTTAATCCTATCTTAAAGAGGTAAATGGAATTATTTTAGTAGAAGATTGAATATTGTAAGCATTCAACAAATGTTAGTTACTATTATTATATTTCTTTGGAAAATTAATATTATTTAATTTCAATAGCTTTCGGTGAACAGGTGGCTTTTGGTTACATGGATAAGTTCTCTATGGGTAATTACTATGATTTTGGTGTATCCATCACCAGAGCAGTGTACACTACACCAAGTGTGTAGTTTTTTATCTCTTGCTTCTTCTCCCCATCCCCCCAACTCTCCAATGTCAATTATATCATTTTTATACCTTTGCATCCTCATACCTTAGCTCCCACTTATAAGTGGGAACATGAGATATTTGGTTTTCCATTCCTAAGTTACTTCACTTAGAACAAGGAATCATTCTATGAAGACAGTATCACCTTAATTCCAAAACCAGAAAAGGACATAGCCAAAGAAAGAAAACTACAGACCAATATTCTTGATGAACACCGATGCAAAAATCCTCGACAAAATACTATCTAAGTGAATCCAATAGCTTATCAAAAAAGATAATACACTATGATCAAGTGGATTTTATACCAAGGATGCAGGGATGGATTAACATACACAAGTCAATAAATGTGATACATTACATGAACAGAATTAAAAACAAAAATCATATGATCCTCTCAATAGGTGCAGAAAAAGCTTTTGACAGAATTCAGCATCACTTTATGATTATCACCAGCAAAACTGGCGTAAAAGGGACATAATTCAAGTTAATGAATGTCATGTATGACAAACCCACAGCCAACATTATACTGAATGGGGAGAAGTTGAAAGCATTTCCCCTGAGAACTGGAACAAGACAAGGATGCCCAGTTTCACCTCTTCTATTCAATATAGTACTAGAAGACCTAGCTGAGCAATCAGACAAGAAAAAGAAATTAAGGACATCCAAACTGGTAAAGAGGAAGTCCAACTGTCACTGTTTGCTGATGATATGATTGTATACCTAGAAAACCCCAAAGACTAATCCAAAAGGTTCCTAGATCTGTTAAATGAATTCAGTAAAGTTTCAGGATACAAAATTAATACCCACAAATTAAAACACATCCCATGCTCATGGATGGATAGAATCAATATAGCAAAAATGGCCATACCACCAAAAACAATGGACAGATTCAGTGCAATTCCAATCAAAGTACCATCATCATTTTTCACAGAAATAGGAACAAAATCTTTAAATTCATGCAAAATCAAAAAAGATCCTGCATAACCAAAGCAAGACTAAGCAAAATAAACAAATATGGAGACATCACAATACCTGACTTTATACTACAAGGCTATAGTTACCAAAACAACATGGCACAGGTATAAAAATAAGCCCATAGGCCAATGGAATAGAATAGGGAAACCAAGAACTAAACATAAATACTTATAGCCAACAAATCTTCGACAAAGTAAAAACATAAAGCAGGGAAGGACATCCTATTAAAAAATAAGCTGGGATAACTGGGAAGCCACATGTAGAAAAATGAAACTGGAGCCTCATATTTCACCTTATGCAAAAAAAACTCAATATGTATCAAAGACTTAAATGTAAGACCTGAAACCATAAAAATTCTAGAAGATAGTATCAGTAAAACTTTTAGATGTTGCCTTAAGCAAAGAGTTTATGAGCAAGAACCCAAAAACAAAGAACCCCAAAGCAGTGAAAACAAAAATAAATACATAGGGCCTAAGTAAACTGAAGAGCTTCTCCACAACAAAATAAATAATCAGCAAACAGACAACCCAGAGAATAGGAGAAAATATTTGTGAACTATTCATCTGACAAATAACTAATATTCAGAATCTATCTGGAACTCAAACCACCAAGAAAAAAACAAAAAATCATATCAAAAAGTGAGTAAAGAACATGAATAGACAATACTCTACAGAAGACATACAAATGGAAAAAAAATGAAGAAAATGCTCAACATCACTAATTATCAAACAAATACAAATTAAAATCACAATGAGATACCACCTGTGTCAGTCTCTTCTAACACTGCTATAAAGATACCATGTGAGGTCGGGTGAGGTGCAGTGACTCATGCCTGTAATCCGAGCACTTTGGGAGGTGGAGGTGGGTTAATCACTTGAGGTCAGGAGCTCCAGACCAGCCTTACCAACAGGGTGAAACCCCATCTCTACTAAAAAAAAAAAAAAATCCAAGTATGGTGGCAAGTGCCTCTGTATTGTCAGCTACTTGAGAGGCTGAGGCAGGAGAATTGCTTGAACCAGGAGGTGGAGGTTGCAGTGGGCTGAGATCATGCCACTGCACTCCAGCCTGGGCAAGAAAGTGAGACTCCCTCTGAAAACAAAACAAAACAAAAAAAGATATTTCCTGAGACTGGGTAATGTGTAAAGAAAAGAGGTTTAACTGACTAACAGTTCCACGTGGCTGGGGAGACCTCAGGAAACTTATAATCATTGTGGAAGGTGAAAGGGAAGCAAGGCAAGTCTTCATAAAGTGACAGGACAGAGAGAGGGCATGCAGGGGAAACTGCCACTTTTAGAAGCACCAGAATTTATGAGCATTCCCTCACTACTCTGAGAACCGTATGGGGGACACTGCCTCCATGATTCAATAACTTCCCACTAGGTCCTTGAATTGACACTGGGGGATTACAATTTGAGATGATATTTGAGTGGGGAAACAGAGCTAAATCATATCGCCACCTTACTCCTGTGAAAATGGCCATAATTAGAAAATCAAAAAATAACAGATGTTGGCATGATGTGGAGAAAAGAGAGCTCTTTTATACTGCTGGTGTGAATGTAAACTAGTACAACTGCTATGGAAAAGAGTATGAAGATTCTATAAGAAACTAAGAGTAGGACTACCATTTTATCCAGCAATCCCACCGCTGGGCATCTACCTAGAAGAAAAGAAGTCATTATATTGAAAAGTCACTTGATATGCATGTTTATAGCAACACAATTTGCAATTGCAAAACTGTGAAACTGCCCTAAATGCCCATTGACCGAGTGGATAAAGAAAATGTGCTATATACACACGATGGAATACTACTCAGTCAAAAAGAGGAATGAAATAATGGCATTAGCAGCAAGCTGACAGAATTGGAGAACATAATTCTAAGGCAAATTAATATTAATAAAGTAAAATATAGGCATCATTTAGTTTAAAAATGCACTTAAATATACATGTTTAAAAGTTAAAGAAAAATAGTACTTTATTTTTAAAATCTGAAGAAAATTTGAATACAAATTTATTGGTGGAGAATTCATTTAGTAGAACAGTGAAACACAGAGGGCCATTATTATTGAATACAAAATTATAGCTATGTGGACAAAATGTCTATTTAACTCAATTGTAATGTATTTTTATAATTTTGAGAAATCAGCAAAATCATGAAGATGACAAAAAGATGAAGTTTATGTGACCTGTACCAACTGGTTGTTTTCTAGATCCTTGATGAAAGACCTCTGATTCCACATCTATCCTGCTGAGTTTACAAAGAAGGAAGATAATTTAGAAATAATGTGCTGCTTACATGACAGTTCTGTGATAATAGGAGAGCAACACTTAGGATAAAAAAAAGAGAAAAGATTTCTACATTATGTGTTATTTGACCCCTTATTAAATCCATTTTGAGATTCCCTTTCCTGAGATATTAATATAATGTAATCATTACATAGCAAAGGATGTTTGTGTGTGTAAAATAAGAAGCTGGTTTTGCATTAAACTTTACCTTAAAAAGGTATCTCTGTCCTTGAATTAAGCTGATTAGGGCCTGATTAAAGATTCTAATTTAATGAAGTAGAGCTACAGGCAGGTTTTCTCCACCAATATGATTAAGCCTTAACACAGAGAAACTCAAAGTCTCAAAGGTAAAGATGAAATATCAACAAGCATTATTCCCACCATCTTTCCTTCATAGATCACATGGGTTTAGAAAAAGCTAGAGTATCCTGAGCCAAAGCCAAGAATAATTGTTTCTCACGAATCCAATCAGGATCCTGTGCATTCCGATGGCAGAAAGTGGGTGACAGTCACCTGGCCCTTATGTGAACTTTGTTCTTCCTTGTGCAGGCAAAGGAGAAGCATAAAACAGTATCTTAAACAGAGAGGGTCATCCTGGGGCAGAAGGCTAGCCCTTTGTTTTTACTATGTCAATTGAATTTATTCCTAACATCTATGGAGACCACCCAAGAATCTTAAAGGTGGGCTACCCAAACAAATCTAAAACATAGTGCCCCAAAAGCCAATTATGCCCTTGCATTTAAATCATAATATTGGCTTCTAATTGGATCTGTTGTACTGTAACCAAGTTGTCACTATTTTTTAAATTATTAAAATATACAGTTTTCAAATAATTTTCAGAAAAATATGATGACCAAAGAGAAAAAGTTTTATTTGTTCTGGTGACCCCACTAGATAAAATGGAATAAACTATAATTAATCTTATTATTTATAAATTTAACACTATTTTATCACCTATTTAGGGCCTCATAATGATTGATTGATTGATTGATTTAGCATAAATATAAATTATATATGTTATGAATTGCATATAAAAATAATATTTATTTATTGTAAATAATAAATAGTATTTAAGATATCACATGTATTTTCAAGTTCTGGCAATTGAGCAGTATTTTCTCTATCTCAGATTTTATAAAACTGTAGTTGTAAAAGATCAGGTAATTTAAGACATTTCATATTGGATACTTACTAAAGTGGCTTGTCTTTTCTTCAAAATTTGCCTCACTGAATAATCTTCTTTAAATAAACAATCAATATGCTTAGCTTTCCTGGTAGGTTCTGTGGTTGTACAAATGAGAATGACATAATGCCTGACTTGAATGAAAGAAGAGATGAAAACTTCCATTTTCTATCAACAAGCATTGCCTAAGTACCTATAATATATGAAGTCTCTGTATTAGGGTTTTTGAGGACACAATAAATAATCTATTGCTCCACTCTACAGAGAGAGACTGGATATGATCATGTAGAGGAAAAGAATAACTAATTCTTGTTTTAGTGGAGGAAAAGAATAACTAATTCTCATGGAAGAAAGCCTGAGAATTCTTATTGAAGTGGGAGGGAAGGAAGATCTGTCAACAGGAAAATCTGAAGACACTTCTTTAGGAGGTGGAATCTGAGCTGAGCCTCAAAGCAGGATAACAATTGACAAAGAGTAATGTGGAGAAACAAGTCTAGAGACTCAGGTAAGGTTTAACTATGTGATATAAGTCAGGTGAAAATTTTAAGTGTTATTTCTCTTTCTCTAAACTAGGGCTAGGTGGATATGGGGTGGGAATAGAGTATTTTTAAATAGAGACAAGACATACCTGAATTTTTGTTTCTAGAAGAGGTATCTAGTTTGTAGCATGAATTGAAGGGCATTATAGAGACTAGAATAAACAAATAAACTACATGATATTATGCAGGAGAAGGTAAGAGCTACATTAGAAAACAAGATAATCAGGCACTTAGTTAAGAAAAAGATCCACATGGATCAAAGTAAAAAGGTGGTCCTCAGGGAAAGGCAGAATTTGCAATGATTCTGGAAGCACTCATTGATTCATTCAAGAAATATTATAACAATAACATCTTAGATGCCCTTGAGTAGATGACATTCTTGTAGATGGAGACAGGGAACTAAATAACATTGGAATTTAGTATAATAAAGACTTTACTGTTAGAACTAAAATGTATTGGTGTGATGGGGACATTTATGGGATACACACAGACCATTCTTAAGATAAAGGGACATTTTCTTGGAAGATTAACCTGGAAGATCAATATATGTTGTTTAAAGTGGAGAAGAAAGGGACAAATACCTGCCCAGGTAAAGTTAGAGAAAAAGCCTGAGATGAGAATGTTTGTGTCTCCCAGAGAATTAGAAGAGTTTTCTAGGACTGAAACTTAGAGGTAGCTCAGGACAAAAGTTATTGTGTGGGGAGATAAGTTTGAATAAATAAAGCCCTCACAATTTATGTTAAGGAAAGATGGAGTTTTCCATTTAAGGGTTTTAAGCAGGAACTTAGGTACATGTTTGAAAGTTTACTTGAGTAGTGGTCTAGAGAATGAATTGGCTACAAAAAGACTAGAATCTGGAAAACTAGGCATGAACCTGTTCCATTATCTCACAGGAAATTGTTCTGGTGTCAAAAAGGAAAATGGTACAGGGAATGGAGAAAAGTGAATGGGTGTTAAGGATGTGGCTTCAGCTGGACTTGGTATGTGCTTGGCTGGGAGAAGCGAGAGGGAGAACAATGTAGGAGTCAGGAAATTGGATACAGTGTTCAGGGTCATATAGATAGGTAGTAGTAGAGGCAGGATTTAAATGTAAGTTGATTGAGCCCAAAATATGCACTCTTAATCTTCATGTCAAACTTGAAAGTTAAAAATGAATCCTGGCTGAGCATGATGGCTCAGGACTGTAATCCCAGCACTTTGGGAGGCTGAGGTGGGTGGATAACCTGAAGTCAGGAGTTCAAGTCCAGCATGACCAACATGGTGATCCCTGTCTCTATTAAAAATACTTAGCCAGATGTGGCAGTGCATGCCTGTAGTCCCACCTACTTGGGAGACTGAGGCACCAGAATCATTTCAACATGGGACATGGAAGTTGCAGTGAGCCAAGATCGCACTACCGCACTCCAGCCTGGGTAACAGAGTGAGACTCCATCTCAAAATATAAATATAAATAAATAAATAAATCCTAATTATGCCAGAAAAACTAGATATCCATGTAAGTAAAAATAAACGTTGATATCCATTTCACACTATACACAAAATTTAATTTGAGCTGGATTTAGACCAAAACTATAAAGCTTCTAGTGAAAAACGCGAAATATATTTGTAACTTCAGGTAGGCAAGATTTCTTTGAGAGGGCACAACAAAACATTATGCATGAAAGAAAATAAGTGTTAGAAAAATGTTAAATTGAATCTCATTAAGATGAAATTCTGCCCTTCCAAAGTTACCATTAAGACAATAAAAGGGCAGAACCGACATCTTCCAGTAATTCCCCAAAATGAGGAACACAAAGGGAAAGAGGAGAGGCGCTCGATACATGTTCTCTAGGCCTTTTAGAAAACATGGAGTTGTTCCTTTGGCCACGTATATGCGAATCAATAAGAAAGGTGATATTGTAGACATCAAGGGAATGGGTACTGTTCAAAAAGGAATGCCCCACAAATGTTATCATGGCAAAACTGGAAGAGTCCACAGTGTTACCCAGCATGCTGTTGGCATTGTTGTAAACAAACAAGTTAAGGGCAAGATTTTTGCCAAGAGAATTAATGTGCATATTGAGCACATCAAGCACTCTAAGAGCCAAGATAGCTTCCTAAAACATGTGAAGGAAAATGATCAGAAAAAGAAGGAAGCCAAACAGAAAGGTACCTGGGTCCAACTGAAGCGACAGCCTGCTCCACCCAGAGAAGCAGACTTTGTGAGAACCAGTGGGAAGGAGCCTGAGCTGCTGGAACCTATTCCCTATGAATTATGGCATAATAGGTGTTAAAAAAAAATAAAAGACCTCTAGACTGTAAAAAAAAAAAAAGACAATAAAAGGACAAATTATATTAGATTGGGAGAAATATTTGCATACAGGTATGTGAGAAAAAGTTGTATTTTAACAATATATAAATGACTCTGATAATGCAATTAAAACAAGCAGCCCAATTATAAGTGGGCAAAAAACTTGACTGAGCATTAACAATGTGAAATATATGAATAGCCAAAATTACTCCAAGGTTTCTCACTGTCATCGTTAAAATGGCAAATAAAAATGAAATTTATTTTACACTCACTTGAATGTCTAAAAGTAAAAAGACTAAAAAAGTCAGTGAAGATACACAGCAATTGGTATCTGAAGCATTTCTCAGAGTACAAAATTGTGAGTTATTTTTAGAAAACAGCATTTTTTCTTTTTTACACAGTTAAACACATATCCATCTATAATATGTCAGTATTTTTTCTAGGTATTTATTTAAGAGAAATGAAGACATATACCCTAGAAAGTTACACTTGTATTCTTGTAGCAGCTTGATTAATAATAAACAATAACTGGAAACAAATGTCCATCAACAGAATGAATGAAAATATGATATAGCTATACAGTGGAATACTTCTCAGCAATGAAAAAACAAACTACTAATATAAAGAATAATATAGATGAATCTCAGAAACATAGGTTGACTTAAATGATACATAAGAAATAGTACACACTATAATTTTATTCATATGAAGTTCAACAACAGAAAAAACTAATCTGTGGAGACAAACTAGAATAGCGATTGCTTATGCATTGTGTGGTGGACTGGAATAGGATATAAGAAAACTTTCTGCAGTGATAAAAATGTTCTACTGCATTTTTATCACTGCAGAAAGTGATAAAAAAAACATCTAAAGGTGGTAACTTTAGATGTTTGCATTTCTTAAAACATTAAATGGTAGGTCTAAGGTCTTATTTATCTGTTTGTAAATTTTACCTCAACATAGAAAATACCTTTCTACCTCCCTTAAAATAAATCAATTTCACACTTAGATGATTTTACTATGGAGATAATGGGAAGGGGAAATAGTAGATTAAGAGCTTCATTTTATATGGGAAAATATAATACTTTCTGATTAATTCTGGGCATTGTAAGAAAAAAATCAAGTGTACATCTGTATAATAAGACCTAAGGGTTTAGTAAGATTAGATATCATATATCTAATATACAATTACAATTTGAAAATTGAAGCAAGAGAATACTTTCAAAACTACAATAAACAAGAAAGGATCAGAGAGAAAGTAAAACAAGGTAAGTTAAATAAACAAGAAAAAAATATTCAAATATGTTAGAATTGCAATAATATCAATGGGTGATACTTTTCTATTTAAAGATGTAGACTAATAACTTTAAGTAACAAAAATAATGACTGTAAGACTTTTTTAAGCATATTAATTTAGTAAGAATATAAAATATGGTAGTATATAATATTAGTGCTGGTGGGAAGAAATGTGTTCTCATGCACTCTTAAAGGTAGTGTAAATTGGAACAATCTATTTGGAGCATCAACTTGGCATAATATATCTAAATAAGAATTGAGCATAGCATTTCACTCAACTTATTCTGTTATTAATCTTACCTATAAGCATGCAGACACACACGTGCCAAAGGTTTATCTACAGAGATATTTGTAATAAATCTTAAAAATACTTGTAAATTAGAAATCACTTGAAGTCAATAAAAATGGACAGGGCAAATGATAATCCATATATGCTATGATATATATTTAGCCATTACAATAAAAAAGGAAATCTATACTGGCATAAAAAGTCATAGATAAACACATGTGTGATCATTTAAGTAAACTGATGTGAATGCACACACACACACACACACACACACACCCCTCCATATGAAAAAGACAATAAAGATACACACCAAACTATTAACAGGGGCTTCTTCTTCAGAGAGAGTGTTGGGAGTTTTGGCTATAAAGATTTTCATATTTTACTCTAAGTATCTACATTTTTTCACTTAAGTGAGAATATATTTATATTCCTTATATAATTATATTCATGTATTACTTAAATTTAAAGTAGAAAAATTACCAAGATGGGAATGAATGCTTAGCAAGTAGATCACATCTCAGCAGAATATAGCATCAAACTGTGAGGTGGGTGTACCCACCTCAGTCTCTAACAAACTTCAGGGATTCCACTTCCATCTTTTGAAATATTAAAAAGTAAACATACAAAGGCTGGTGTCTAAAAGCAATATCTTGGAAAGGAGAAAGCTTTATTTTTTTATGTGATGATGTCTCCTTACTTGATCAAAGCTGAAATTTAAAGGAAATCGTCTTTTCAGTTGTGGCAGAAAAGTCTTGAAGAGCTAGGAAGGACTGGATAAATGGGGAATATATAAAAGCAATGCTTAATATTTTCTATACATCCTCAAGATTTGTGCAGGGGATGCTTTGGGCTAGATTTCCAGAATTCGTTTTCTAAAACTATACTCCAGGACCTAGTATTTAAAATATATTTGCTGTTACATGAATGCTTATTATAAGTAAAAGAACCACCTATTCAGATTGTGATTCTAAAAGAGATGGCAAGATGGAGAGATTTTCAAAGGTAAAGAGCATATTTCTAGATTGTGTGTAAGAAATTACAATGTGTTTTCATCAAATATTATACATATTTAAGCCTTCATTCTCAGATACTAATTCTCACAATTAATTTAAGAGTGAATAATTCCTTATGATTCTAAACTGTGAAACACATGACAAATTAAATTCAATAAATAAGTCAAAAATAAGGGATTAGAGAGTGGAAATGCATTTTGGTATTTTATTTGTTACAAAATTTAAAAGAGCCTTTCATAAAGGAATGCACATGCACCACATGCACACACATTCACAAATAATTTTAAAGGGGAATTTAGCACTCATTGAGAACTTATTAGAACTCAGTACGTGTATTTGTGGGCTGATTTTAGAACCAGTTGCAGCCCTTTGAACTGAACTTTCCTTTAGGGAGTTTGTGTCTTAGAGCAATGATATTAATAACAATACACAAAGATGGGTGATAGGCTGCTATAATTGCTACAAAAGAATATTGAACAGGGAAGAGGATCAGAGCATGAAGGGACTGAAAAGATGTTTGTACTTTATACATGTAGGATAGCAGAAACATGAATGAAATGAGTGAGACAGGGCTGTATTTTGGGGCATGTTATTTTAGGCAGGCAGAAAAAGCAGCAGATACAAGGTCCTGAGTTGAGAATGGCCTGGAGTACTGAAGAAACATCAAAGATTTCAGTGTGGTTGCAGCTCACTGAGTCAATGGGGGAATAATGGAAATTCAGGTCAGAGAAATTGTTAGATGGCAAATCATACAGAGCATTTTAGGGACTGATAAAGAGTTAGGCTTTTATTCTACTGTGATGTAAAGCCATTGGAGATTTTGTGAGCAGTTGGTGGCATAACCTGATTTGCACCTTTTCTACTGTGCCAAGAACAGGTCTAGGTCAAGAATGAAGTGGACAGTATAATAGATGGGACCAAGATTAGGTACCCTACATCCCCGTGTGCTGGAAAAGATCCTTGTTTTTCTACCTGTCGTTACTGTATAATTATTAGTAGCATCCCCATTCACCCTCAGGGAGAGGCCATTACCTTTTATGGTCCTCTAAGAGAGTAACAATGAAGGTTATGCAAAGGGTCTGTGGGGAAATTTTAAAGAAAGAGTCAGCAGCACTACTGGTAGGTGAGACATAAGATGAAGAGAAAAGAGGAATCAAGAGTGATGACAAGGTTTGATGGCTGAGAACATGATGTAATTGTAGTACTATTGATCAAGAAGTGCCGGAGGAGGAGCAGTTGAGAGACTAAAAAAAAGTTGTTGGGGTATCTAAGCTTAGAACCAATTTCTGAAACTAGGATTTGCTTGCAAATAATTTAATAAGAAAATATTTCCAAGAGAGACTAAGAGAGTGGGGAAGTATAAAAAGGAGGGGAAGAAGGCTGAGCAAGGATGCCATGATAAAGTCCCAGACTACACCTGATTCATAAGGAATTCTAGAGCGTAAATTCATCTCAGAGCTTTTCTTCTCTTAAGTCAGTTTGGGTATGAGCTGACAATCAGGGGAGCCAATTTAAATTCTTAAGCACTTCAGTTCATTGTGACTTCTAAGTAGCTCCAGTAGCCCAAGGGTTATCTTCTTTAGAAGGTACTAGAACTCAATTGTGTCCCTTTCAAAATTCATGTGTTAAAGTCCTAACTCTAAGTTTAATGGTATTTGGAACATAATTAGGGTTAGATTAAATAAGGGTTAGAAAATAATTAAATCTCATGAGGGTGAGATCTGGGACCTCATAAGATTAGTGGCTTTATTAGAGGAGGAAAAAAAAAAATTTCTCTCTTCGCTATGTGAGGACCCAGGAAGAAGCTGGCCATCTGCAAGCAAGGAAGAGGGCCTTTACCGTGAACCGAATCAGCTGGCCTCTTCATTGCAAACTTCCTAGCTTCCACAACTATGAGAAAATAAATGTTTGATGGTTAAGCCACTTAGTCTGTGGTATTATTTAATAGCATCCCAAGCTAAGACAGACTCTAACAGGTACAAGCTCAAAGAATGTTGAAGCTGAGAGACAGAATAAGAAAGAGGTTAAGGAATCCCAGGGGCTTTGGGTTGGAGCACCAACTACAGTGGCCTATAGTGTAAACTACAGAAATAGAAATTAAAGTCAAGAATTTACTTGAGCATGCACTGAGGCATATCAGATAATCACACTAAATGGATAGGAAGCAAGATATATAAGACTTACAAGGTAGGAGAGGAATAAAGATAGAAAGATTTTAATCAAACAGATGCCATTTACAAATTTGACTGGCTGTGTGAATGCAGGTAAAGAAGAGAAGCATAGTACTGTACGAGGCACCGTGTGAGGCACATAAATGTGACATACAATCTGTACCCTTAAGCAATCATAATCTTATATGAAAAATAATAGGCTAAGACAATATGGCTTTCAAGAGTTGACATCTGTGGTAGGTCTTCTTAGGGCTGTTAATTTCTTTAGACATTATAGATAATGTCTTTACCTATGGCTATACCTCTGTCTTCCTCCCCTTTGCATGGGAAAAGTCAGCATCTTTTCTTCTCCCTAAAATGGAGAAACATCAGAAATATTATAGCAATTTTCAAGATAGATAGTTTTAGGCAAATGATCTGCAGATATATGATGCGGTGATATCTCTGAATATCCCATGGGTTTTCAAATTACTTCAAATTGGTTACAAAATTCTCATGGCAAATGAATTTGAAAAATTTCATAATATTCAATTTTCAATTTAAAATTTTTAAATTTAAAATATAAAATTTTAAATTTCATAATAAAACAAAACTCAAACAAGATTTCATGCCTTTGAAGACAGGGTAACATCAAACAAATAGTCATAGGGTGTTAAGAGTCCAGAAGAGTTGAGATTTGCTATTAAAAGGATTAACAGTTAAATGGTTCACAATACCCCTTTCATTTTTTAAATAGAAATTTTATAACAATTATAACCCTTGGGTTTGAAGGAGACAAAAACTCTTTAGGCCGGTCTTCAATGCTCCCATCATCCCTATAAGGAGTCAAGCAACTTTTGCCTGAATCATAATTGTAGGAAACTCAAAATTTTCCTGCAGTCACACTTACCATAGCAAAGTGATAGAAAATTATTTCTTTCGGGAGGAATGGTGTGTCCTTTCCTTTCCCTGGCAGATGAGTCTGCACTTTAAAGCCTCTTCTGCTTTCTATTTTTCCATTTGCCTTTGCTTTCTTTACATCACGTTCATTCAGATAGGAATTCAAGGTGTGGAAGAGTAATTGCTGGTAACGTAGCTCACTATGACCCTCTCCTAAGTAGTTTACATGTATTTACCATATTAATACTCACCACAACTCTATTAGATTGATATTAATCCACAAATTAAAAATGAGGCACAGATATGCTAAGAAATTTTCCCAAGGTCATTGAGTTAGTAGGCAGTGGATGCAGAATTTCAACCTTAGCAAACTGGCCCTAGACTTCAAGCATAACAACACTATGATACACTGCTTCTTAAGGTAGAGTACTAGTGCTGTCTTTGAAACTCAGTCCCCTGCACTTAACTATCTAGGACCCTGCC